AGAACTTCCATCATGTTATAACCCTGTACCCTATAATCATGCGGTATTTCTGTCATGTTGGAGCTAACAACTTCCATCATTTTGTCAGTTCTGTCTACAAAACAGAAAATTACCTTCACAAGTTCCTGAGATTTATGCTTTTAATTACCTCCTATCTGCTTCACTACCCTCCATGCCCAAAGAATCAATATAGTCTTATAAATAAGAAAAATGTAAAATGTTTGACAGAAAATAATGACAGTTCTGTACATTTTTATGTGATGTTATTGATTATTTTGTTTTTTATCCTTTTGACAGCATGAATGATTTATTTAAATCTGTAACGTCAACTTCTGCTAATACTTGCCTAAACTTAAAAAATTTGCCTTCTGGCTTTTTAGAAAGATGAACTCTATCATCACATCATCTTTATTAGCTTTAAACACATTCAACAATAAGATGACCTTCATTGTCTCTTAATGCCAAATTATTACATCTACTTTTCTGATTTGCCTCAAGGCATTTCCTCCTGATTCTTGAGTCATCTCTTAGTTTTTGAGATGACACCAAAAATCAGGGCTGACTTGCAGTCATTACCCACACAACAACACGCTGTGCAAACTCAAGTTTATTTTCAATCCAATTATACCCTATGAACAAGACAGTGCCTACCAGGCTGTACCACAGCCAAAGATATTTCTATAAGAAACAAAGTGTACAGAGGGAAGCAGACATTTTTGCTTATTTTAGGCATTATCAACAGATGACAAAATCTGTTTACAAAAAGGACACCTCCTAACAAAAATCAGAACAATAAAATGTGGACTGCCTGGCATCATGCGTTTGCAAGTTTGGATATAGAGAAGCCTGGTTGCTGGAAAAAGGGATTAGATTAGAACTGGCATTACTGCATAGTACCTAAAAGCTCCTAAAAGTCTGTGGACTATCACAGAATCCTTTGGGTTGGAAAGGGCCTTTGAGAGCAAGTTCAAATGTGAAGTCAGCACTGCCATGTTCACCACTAAAACATGTCCCTACACATCCTTTAAATACCTCCATGGGATGGTGACTCCACCACTTCCCTGGACAGTCTGTTCCAATGTTTGACAACTTCCTTTTGGTGAAGAAATTTCTCCTAATATCCAATCTAAGCCTTCACTGGACCAACTCGAAGCAGTTTTTTCTCATCCTATCACTTGTTTCCTGGAAAAGAGACTGACTACCTTTCAGGTAAGCATAGAAAGTGATAAGGTAACCCCTGAGCCTCCTTTTCTCCAGGCTAAACAATCCTAACAACCTCAAGACTAAACAATAAAATAAAATAATGAGGGAGAAGAGCAGAGAAACTACTTGAACACAAGGCAATAATTCAGATAAGGAGAAAAGGGCAATTCTGCAGAAACCAAAGAAATATCCTTCCAGCTGCAACTCACTTTTCCCTTATGGCTGCAAGCTACAGTGTCAGATGCCATAATAGAATAGACATCTTGGGGCCAAAGCTCCACAGCTGCTGGAGACTTATTGCCACATACCAGTTGAGGAAAAAGACAAATTTGACCAAAATACAGCTAAAAATATTTAAAAAAGGACAGTCAGAGTATGATGGTGAATGTCTCTAAGTATGAGTCAAATACTATAATTTCTTTTTTTGGAAGAGTACAGACATATCAAGTTAAGACTAGATAAAATTAAGAATTTGTACACAGAGGTTTTCTTCATGTTGTACTTTTAAAAATTGAAGACTGGGAGATCCTGAAGAGCTGAGTTAGAAAATACTATTCAAATTATATGGCAGAAGAAAAATCATTCTACAAACTTTATTTTTGAAAAGAAAGAAGCCATCACTTCAACATGCACAGTTCCACATTCAAGACAATGTATTTTTAAATATTTAAATTTTAAAATTTCCTCTCATCTCTGATCTTTCTTTTCCTGCAGGTAGCTGCAATCCCTGCCTCTGAATCTGATGACAGAACACTCTCACCAAAGCTAAATGTGCAGACACATAAGCAAAAGAAACCTCAAACCTTTGCAATTCACTGTATTAATTTAGGGGGAGGTTTGACAACTACAAATTGACTAGTCTGATTTTTTTTGATTTTGGTCTATTGATTCAGACCAGTGAGTGTCCACAGCACAAGGAAAAGATTGCAGGCAGGGAAACCAATTTTCTTCTCACAGATGAATAACCACTGTCTGTGTTTCTTGTGCAATTGATAAAACACCACCAGAATGAAGTCAGCATCCTCAAACACTATGCAAATGAAATTCACTAAGGAGAATTAAAAAAAAAAATTAAAAAAACCCAAAATAGACTCTTTATAATTTAGTTCTGCCATTTTAACTTCATTAAATTGCATAATTTAGGTCAGAGAAAGTTCAAAGGAATGGGATGCCTATCAACAACAAGAACTATGTCAGCCTTGTAGAACCAGAAGAAACTGCAAGTGTGGAGTGACTGCACTACAAATCTCATTCTGCAATGTGCTACACTGAAGTTTTAATGCAGATTAGCAGAGTTTGATGGTACTCAAAAGCATGTCACATGGTGGAACTGATTTCCTGAAAGATTCAGCAGTTCAGACCTATATGACTCCCTTCTTCCCCAGTCAGCAAACAAAGGATGGATTGTAAAGATTATTCCATGCCCTGAGCACAATTTCACATTACTTTTGGTCCAAAGGGACCAAAAAGAAAAACACATGCAAAGTCCAGATTTTTATTTCTGTGCAGGAGTTTCAACAGGCTAAGAAAGAGCTGTGAGCCTGCAGAGCTTGGTTGAAGCCCCACTACCAGTGAAATGATACAATACAGTGAAATTTACCTCAGTAAAACATAACAAGGCCAATTATGGGAGGGGAAGAGGTGTCTATTTGGATAGGTGAGAATAACATCCAAATAAGATAGGATCTCACTCTCAGGAAAAAAAAATGCTCATACAAATAATTCTTTAGATTAAATGACTGAACCTGAAGAAAAATATAGAATCTTATTTCTCAGGAGAAGCTAAATAATGCAATGAAAGGCTAGAAAGCTTTTGAAATAGAAGTACTACACTATGAAGACTCATTCTCCAAATATTCCTGGATGCTGAGGTTATGAAACAGTTGTGAAATTAGATTTATATTTAAGTATCTTCTGGTATTCATAACACTGTTATAACCTTAGCACTTTCCAAAATCAAATTTCTATGTTGTTTGTGGCCCTGGTAAACTAAACTGCTATAGAAAGTAAGGTGCTGAATTTCAGCATGTAAAGTACTACAGACACAGTGCTTCATCCTTTCTTACAACCATTCATTTCCAAAGGATGATGATAATTTCTAGGAACTACAACTGAATAAATTTATCAAATTTAGGAAGAAAGATCACACCACCCTATTGAATACACCTGGCACAGAAGAAGAAGGGTAGTTTGAAATACTTTTGTGATGCCACTATTTAAAGCAGAATATGAAATGCACTTTTTGTTTCACTTTCTAAGTCTAGACAGGAGAAATTGCTTGGTTGACAGAAGTACAAAATGATGTAACAGATCTTTTTTTGTTCGTTTGCTTCAAGCGCTCAGTTGTGATTCAATTTATCTGCCTGAAGTGCTGTTTGTCCACCTGAACGTCAGCACAAAGTGAGTGACTCCTCTGGGGACAGGTCCCATCATCAGGGGGATCCTGACCTCAAGAGGGGAGGGAAGAGTGAGGGCAGCCTGAGCCATCTCACTGGTGATGGATCCACCTCAGAAGCAAGATCCATGAAGCCAAAGAAAATTTTAAAAAATATTATTGATTCCTTGATTTAATCAGTAAAAGGACATACCTGGAACAAGTACCAGAGCAGAAAAGATTTTTTTCCCCTTAAATATTAACCTTAAAGTAGAAAGATAAGCAAACTAAATTTAAAATAATGACTTCTGAGATCAGTTAACTAAGCAGATATGGGCACTTCAAAGGAAGTTTAAAAAGCTTGTCAAACGATGACAGATTTAGAAATCAATCTGAAGCTGAGATAGCACTGCTTCAAAATCCTTACCAGCCTAGACAAGAAAGGCAAACTGGGGAAAACGCTTCACAAGACACTTTCCAAAGTGCAATGTTAGAGGCAGAGAAAAGCAGGGTAATGGGTATGGGTGCTTTACTGCAAACCTCTAGGAGCACAAAATACTCAAAGGCTTTGGAGGAGGTGCCTGCAAACTGTTTCTGAGACAAAAATTATGAGAGAAAAATATATAATATTAACACATCACTTCAGGATTTATTCTTACCCTTGAGATTAAAAAAAAATCTGGGAATTTGAGTTTATTTTTATTAATTCAATGACATTAGTAATAGTTTCCAAGAACAAATACATACTCCTTAACTGTCAAAAGTTATAATCTTCTTAGATGTAGTTTCCTTGAATTTCTTTAATTTTCAAGCTACTTAGGAAGAAACATTAAATGGTTATATATTTTAAAAAACACCAGTGTACTCTTTTGTAATGATTTTTTTTTTTAAATTAACCTCCAGGAAACAGTTTCTTTGAATTTCTCATACTCAAAATGACAGCTAGAGCGAAGTATTTATATTTATTATGAATGAAAGTTTTTGGAAGAGTGACTTCATTCAGAAATGGAAAGACTATCAGCAAGGACATACAAACAACAAGAAAAAGCTATTTCTTCTGGAAGAAAATCAAATATGACCTGGAGAACTCACCGGGAAGCTTTTCTGCTTCACCTCCTTTTTTTTTAAGAAAAAAATTCCTCAGGCAAACATTTCTTTTTGCAATACCTGTTGAAGGTTTTTGTACCATCAAGTGAGATATCACCTATGGACATGGCATTGCATAACATGCCAGAGCTATCCAAGAAAATTAAGAGTTCATGCTTTATGGACTTCTGCCTCTGAGTGGACAAAAAACCCACCAGGCTGAGCAGAATGCAGGTAGAACTCGAATGAGTTATTTGGGAAAAAGAGATTTAGATTAATTATACCTAATGCACCAAATTAAAAAAAAAAAAAAGGGAGGAAAATTGGCAATACTCACATCAGAGTTAAAACGAAGCTGGCAGACATTACAGGAAATGACTTGCTTCTTCTTTGGGGGAATGGACACTCCAAATGTATGGTTTATGACTGCTTTTTGCACAGGATCCATCTGGAGAACAAACAATAACCAATTTACAACTTTTCTGGGCAATAAACAGTACAGGAGAAAAATTTAAAAAACAAAAAAACACTTTGAGCAGAAAGCTCTTCTCTTTTTTTCAGATAAACAGGAGAAATAAGATTCCAGCCCTCACAATAATAAGATTTAACAAAGGTTAGGGAATTGGTAGCATGCCAAAGCTGATGAGGAAAATGCAGCTTCATTTTTGCTGTCATCCCCAGGTTACTAAATAGTTCTTTCCTCAACAACCCTGCACATCTTCTGGGCTGCAGGGCCTCCCCTACCACACCTGAATTTCAAATAAAAGCCCTCCCCTATCACCCACTGCTCCAACAGACATATTACAGAGGCCACTTCTGCACCCTGACAAGTTACTGTCATTCATTTCTACATGCTTTCCTTTGAGTGATAAATATTAGCACTTATTTGAAAAATATTCTCCCGTGGAGATATCTTTGTGAAAGGAGGTCCTTTGCAGGCTCTGCTACAAATAACACTTGCTGGGAAAAGAGGTTGCAATCCCCAAGCATTTCCATGCAGAACTGATGCGTGACAGAGCCCATGGGAAGGCTGAAGTCTGGAGGAACCTGAAGGGAGTGTTTGTACCAGGAAAGTTAGCACACTTCAGAAAACATTTAAACACTGTAAGAAACATGAGATAAGGGAAAAATCTGAATATATTACTCCCAAATTTGACTGAACCTTTTAAGAACTCAAAACTTATTACATCTTTGCTCAATATCAGGACTGCTGCTGGTCACGAATATTCTCAGGATCACAGAACGCTCTGGGCAATGACACAGGGTGTTCAGAAAACAGAGTTTAGAACTGCTACAGTGTCGAGGCCTCAGTCAAAACATGCCATTCTTCCTGATGTGACATGAATACAGATTACAATTCATTTCCTAATGCAAAACTACTCAAACTAAATTTTCTAATTAAAGAAACGCAGAATATTTGGTCTGGTCTCATAACTGAATTTACTCTCAGCATGATGTTGAACCAGATGACATCTGAGACCCCTTTCAACCGAAATGATCCTGTGAGCATCTGTGTATGTGTGGTCCCGCATCCTTATCTGAGATAAACAATAGATTCTGAAGAGGAGAGGGGAAAAAATGGAAGTTTACAACAACAGATAAGTGCTCATTTCCCCATTTTGTTTCTAAACCAGTTCAGAAGAAAAGAATTTTATTTTTTATAAAGTTAGATTTTTCTGAAGCTTGCTTTGGAACCACAGTGATATTTTTTCCTTTACGGTACTATTGGAAGAAACAACACCTGGCTGTTTAATCCCAGGTGATACACAAGACACACTTGGTATTAAGCCAACTTGCAAAAGGGCAAGAGAACAGCTGAAATAACTGATCCACTGAAGAATTAGAACAGAAAATTACCTGCTTCTAGACTTTCTAAACATGAAGATAAAGACATTGATTTTCCCTTAGTACAAATTTTAAGCTTCCAGAGAAGCCTGCACTTTGAGAATTTTCTGCACATATATATGCACACACAAAAAAACAAATTCAAGAAAAGCATACTGCATTGTATCTGCCTAAGATATTCCCCAAATATATTACCTAACATTAAATACTTTTTTTTTCCTTTGGACAGTGGCTACATATGTTTCTTGCTGCATTCATTTTAAACCAAATGAATGATTTTGTAAATGGCATTAGTGATAAATTTTCCAGAGAGGTAATTTAATACTTATCTTCTGCCACTAAATACTGTTGTTCATTGCCACAGGGGTACCTGGTGACAATACAAAAGTAAAACCACTTCATCTGGAATGATCTACTAAATTATTTAATGATGCATTGTTGTTACAATGGATTGTGACAAAATCGAAAAAAAACCCTGAAATAAATGCCCTTGTTGCCTGTTTCTTCTATTTCTAGGACATAGTGAGAGTTCAAAGTCTAAAAGCTTAAAACACAACAAAAAAACCCCTTTTTCTGACTTGTACCATTTATGGCATTGCCCTACATAGTATATCAAAATTATACATGCAGATTAAAAGCTTTTTGAGCATCCACTTTATAATAGATATGACAATCAATATATATTATTACATTTATCACACATGTTAAAATATTGATGTATTATTAGGGAAGACTTGGCTGGATTTTTTCTTAAATGGAAGATATTTTTTTACATTTCAACTTAAATACTAAGTGTTAATCAGTTAATCTAGAAGAAAAGAGTAATGTTCAGAAGTACCTCAACCATTTGGAGTGTCTGAAATCGGTGAAAAGAAATAGCAAAAATACCCACAAGTGTCTGCAGTCCCGTTTCAAACAAGGTACAAAGGGAAGAAGCAGTGATCAATGATTCCTCTGTGCACTCCAAATAACAATCCACAGCGCTAGCGCGAGGCAAGGCACTTCACAACCGCACCATGCAGCCTGTGCACAACCTCCCAGCTTCAAACAGAGGCAGCAGCACAAGAACAAAAATCCATGAAAATAATACATGCTGCCTCCAGAAAGTACCACTTGTGATCCCCAGGGGAGTGGGTAATGATCCCTCCCAAACCGGAGCCCTGCATGCAAGCTGGTCATGATTAGAATTCAAGAAGTGCAACATTAACAATTAATACACTTTAAATATGTCAGAAACTGGGGTGGATTACAGCACACTGGAAAAATAAAATAGTATCTCTCTGTTAGAAGATTAATGCTGCAGGGTAAACTGATCTTCGATCCCTACACAAAATTACCCTCTTCACTGCAGGGAAGGAGGGAGGGAGTAGAAAAAGAGGGAGAGAATTATTTGTTGAGGTATTTATTAGGAAATGACGCAGCATAGTTTGCCCAGTGGGGAGCACTAGTATTTAAGAACCAGACCTATAAAACAAAATGATAACAGAAGCTAACAGCTACCACAAATGCAAATAAAAATTTGCACTATGCTGTTTATGCTACAGGGGGATTTAACAAAGCAATTAATGGTGCTCTGGTAGACATAACTAGGTTTAACAACCTGCTAGTATTATTCTCCTGTTTTAATTGCTTTAATAAAAAGTTAAATTTAAAAATGTCATTCCAAGAAAGTTGAAGACGCCATCTTTTTTGCAATGAGTCTCGTTAAAACCACTCAAACCAATCCTTGAAGCGAGCAAAGATTAACAGAATTCTGACAGAAATACTCTATACCTACTGAGATTGCAACAAGAACTTTAAAGGCATCTAGAAAATACAAATGTAGCAACAGACAGGACAGAACAGGGGCAGCACAGACATTGTATTTCCTACTGCTTTTTTCATATTTTCCCATCAAAAAACTTCCCCACTCAGGTGTTTTCTGTGTATTTGATAAATTCCAGTGACTTTGTCTTGCATAGTTACCCCTGAAACTGATGCAAACCAGTTTTCACTCTTTGCATCTACTTCCAATGCCTACAGTCCTTAGTGCCAAGAAATGATTTTTGTTTAAATATACTTTCATAAAATTCAATTTTATAAGATCTATACCACATCCATTGTTATCTTTGTGCCACTCAGTCATTCTGTGTACGGAAATCATTCCATTCCTCTCTACATTCTTGTTGCCCACCTCAATTCTACCAAAAAATCAACTAATTCAATTAAATATACTGAGGATATGGACAGGAACCATATAAAAGACCCTGGATAGATCAGTATTGAACTCTGAGCTGATGTTTTCAAGGAACCACTATTATAAACCCGAGCTCTCACTCCCAAGTCTTGATAGCCAATTCCTAGTACACTACTTTGTATGTCAAGTTTTGTGAATTTTTACTTCCATGTCCCTCACTTTAGTAATATCTAGATGTAACTTCACCAACACCACATATTGTCTGGCTTGTCGGTCTCATCAAGGTCTTTCACAAATTTTGCTGTCCTTCTTAGTCCTCACTACCTTGGAGAATTTTGCCAATAGCAAATTTCCTCAGCTCACTTACCTCCCAAGCAACTTTTTGTCATCCAAGAGTCTTCTTATGGCAATTTAGTTTTCTCAAAAAAATCTTTGCCAAGGGGTTTTGTAAAAAACCTTGTCAGTAATTCAGACTATGTAGATTTAAACATCCTTATTCACATGTTTGTTGACCCCTATAAACAGGCTTGTAAAGAAGGATTTATCTTTAGAAAGGAATTATGCTGACAATTTACTAGCAGTTTACAGGATGAGGTATCCTATGATACTGTTTTTATTGAAGTTTGCCTCAATATTGAGGTATTCATTTACCTGGTAAAAAACCCCATTCTTCACAGAATGGATTTTAAAAACTTGCATCATATTTGCCACTTTTTAGTCCTTAGGTACAAAGCCAGTTTTAGATGAGCTGTTACACCTTATCATCAGCAACTCAAGAATTTCATCCTTGAATTCTCTTACCATTCTTAGTACCAGAAGCTCTCCCTGCTGTGCTGTGTATCATGGTACCACAGATTCTTCTGGTGCCTCCTGGGAAAGGAACCAGACTACAAAGAGACATGAAAGTAGGCACAGGAAGAAGTGGAAAAAAAAAGTGTTGGGAGTAGTTGCTTGGTGAAACCAAAGTTCTGGTTATTTTGAAAGATCTCTTTATATACAGAAGACTGTACAAACACTAGTTTATGAGTCTCAGAAATAAACTGCCATGATCCTGAGGGGAGGCGAGTAACAGGAGCATAACCTTAAACCTGAGTAAGGTTTAAAATTGTGATTGGCAATGAATGTCCTGTTACCTCTTATCATGATGTAACTCTTGTGTCAAATATAGAGTTAACTGTTTACAAGCTTTTGTAAACATAATATTGACAGTGGGGATAAGAGATGTAACTCATATCACTTAACCAGCAGGTATAATAAGCTTCTGAAAAACACAGAGAGCAGCCTTCAGCTGGTTTACTCTGATAAATAAAAGTTTTAAACCATACGTGGAACAAATGGATAATATAATCCAGTATTTCCCTCCAGAAAAAAAACACGGGCATATACAAATTACCAGTGTAACATCTAAATTAAGTTCTGCAACTCCCTGTGTGTTTGAGCTCCAGTTGTTATGAAAGCCAAGTACACTGCCACTGTGGAGACTGATCATACACAGAACCTTATCATAAATTCTGCCAGATACACACAGCCCCCTACCATAACTGTACATATTACAATGATTGACAGAGTGACAGAAGTGAATACACATACTCAGCAAAGCACATACTTAAAATGCCCAGCATTAAAATCAGAAACATTAACATTGTGATGTAATGCTTGGCATGCTTGGCCAACACAAACCAGCAAAAATCTGTTCTCTCCACATTTGTGCTGCTTTTGTTCCAACAGGGAACATATTTCTCATTTGACTAATTCTAGGCATAATTTAGTGTTCAAGTCACTGCAATTCTGTCACACATTTCATTGTTTATTTTGCATCAGGAACACTCGTGCCAATTCTACTGATGGAGCTGTACCCAGAGGGAGGTTGTAGCAAGGGAGTGTCACTATCTTTTCCCAGGTAACAAATGACAGGACAAGAGGAAATATCCTCAAGTTGTACAAAGGGAGGCTTAGACTGGATATTAGGAGAAAAGTATTACTGAAAGGGTTATCAAGCATTGCAACATTGCCCAGGGAAATGGTGGAGTCTCTATCCCTGGAGATATTAAGGAGACATGTACATGTGGCACTGAGGGATATGGCTCACTTGTGAATTTGGCAGTGCTGCCTTAACGGCTGAACACAATGATCTTCAGGGTCTTTTCCAACATAAATCACTCTGTGATGTGAACAACTTTCTTTTCTTGCAGGAAAGCCATCAATATTCCCTGTGCATCAGAGCTCCTTGAGTAGCACACAGTGTCTCCAGAGATGTATTTCTGTAGTGTGGGCCTGCAGCTCTCTAAACACTACCTCCCTACACCTCTGCCCCTATGCTCTCTATGCTCTTCACAACATTTGTGCTTCTTAAAAAACAGGCAGATGTAAATAGCCAGTAACCAAACCAGGGGTGACTCAGATTCTCAGCAGCTGATTTGGAGACTTGTGCAAACACTTCATTGAACAAAAAGAATAATTAACTTACAACATTATTGGGGTTTGTTTTTCTTTTTACGGCAGTCCTGTGGTCTAGCTGAGGGTTGCTTGAATCACTTTTTTTTTTAAGGAGGCTCTCAATGTACTTACACATAGCACATTTGCACAGAGCATGAAATCTGGATCTCAGGGAAATCAAACCCAGCCATACTCAGGTTAGAGAAAGTCCATGATTTTACTTTTTCTTTTTAAACTGCTGAGTAGATGTCTCCCCAAGTGCAGTAAAACAAGCATCCACTAAGAAAGACTACAGACCACAGGGACTAGCATCTCCCTTCCCTTACACATGATTCCTAGAATACAACATCAGCATTGTACTCTGAAGCAAACCTCTCTGAATGCGACCTCTCACTGTGTTTATCTGTCCCCTCAAACTGGCAGCAAGCTCCAAGCTCCCTGAGGAAAACAGTGGCTGTGATAGCTGGGACATCCACACACTACCACTAGTCAGTGTAATCAGCAGGAAGCATCTTTAAAAAACCCAAAAGTCTTGCTGTAATTCACTTGTTAACATCAGATACTACAGCAATCCACAAAACGTTGCTGAAATAAGAGTACTGAAAATAAAAAAGGAAAGAGACACCTCTGGTGTTTACACTTCTAGTTCAATTCTAGTACGAGACAACTAAAAGGACACACAGAGCTGGAAAGAACTTTTATATCTTAAAAAAAGTATTAGAAATACTAATAAATTCAGCTCCCTCATTCTCCTTTTAGATTAAGGCTCAGTTAATTTTGCTTTTGCAAATTCCACATTATTTCTGTTAACAGAGTTGCAGGGCTATATCCCTGGACTTCAGAGACCAGTTTTCCATCTCCACCTCATAAGCAGCTAAATTTCTTTCCCTGCATTTTTATATTCATTCCTATGGTATAATGCAGAACCTCTGGGTGTGTTATCCTCTTGCATGTTCCCCCTTTAAAGTAAAGTTTGCATGGAAAAATGAAAAAGAGACTGATTCCCTTTGTGTGCCTGTATTAACAATCACACAGAACACTGAAAGGGACTTCTGAAGTGATTTACAGATTTGGGTTAGGCAAGAGGGAACCATTACAGCTGATTTCCTGAAAAATTTATGACATAATTTCATTCACTGAGAAGGTTCAGCCCTTTCTATTACAAAGTGCAATAATTTGTGGTTAATCAGAGCCTAAATTTTAGGAAAAAACCCAATCTCAACAGCTTGATTTAAAAATTTCTAAACAAGTTAATTTACATGACTGTGGAAGCAATACTTGCTTCCACAGTTATTATAAGCCCCTCAATCTAGTTGTGCTTCTCTGTTAAAGGTCACTCAAATACCTTCTGAATAGTGCAGGCACTCATGCACTGCAGTCATGCCAGCTCTTAACCTTCCCTTTGATAAACCAACCTCCTTAAGCTGCTCACAGTAAAAAGCTTGATCATTTGCTAGCCTTTCTCCAACACCTTTGCAGATTTTCAGTACTCCATTGAAGCCCAGTGAAAGTCAGAATCCATGCTCAAATACACTTTCTCTTTAGCCACCTAATTACATCCTTTCTGTTTTAACAAGAAATGCATTCATCATCTTTCCTCAGCATTGACTTGGGAAGCAAAGCCCTAAATCTTTACTGACATGCACATTTATCCCTCCTGTGCTCTAGCACAAGCAGTGTCACCATCACACACCCTTCTCTCTTTTAGGATGTTTTCTGACCCACTTGTAGAGGGCTAAAACAGCAGCACACTGGGAACCTTATGTTGAAGCTGTGACTGCTTTCAGTAAGGTTTGCACATAGGAATCTGCAAACCATTGTCAGACCAAGATCAGGAGGCTACTGATGAATCCCAGTCTTCTTTCTCCTAACCTAGTTCTGAAATCATGGGTTAGAACAACATAAGTAAAAGGAAAAATTGAAACAAACCCAAAGATTTTCTAGCCTTCTGCTTTTTGGACTCCTCTGTCTTTGTACTACTCTAGCCTAAATCAAGTAACTGATATAAAAAATCAAAATCAAAGATAAATGAACTCTCAACTCTTCCTACCTCTCTCCTTTCCATGTAATGTGATATGATTAAGCCCAGAGGTGAAAAGGTAACTGAGAAAACACTTTTGAACTATTTTTTTACTATTATTTTTTTCAGTGCTGTGAATATTTCCTCTGCCCTTCCTTTCCTTCATGCTTGTATATTTATTGCATGTCAAAAAAATTCTGAGTTAGAAAATCATAATAAGGATAGCTTTAGTCTTAAATTTTCAGAATTTTCTCATAATTAAATACCAATGATATTGCTGTTTTACTAATCTTTGTATAAAACATTATGAAAAGGTAATATTTGATTCCTATAGAAGTGCTTGACCCAAAGAAAAAAAAATTGATGAGCCACCACAAAAAAAAATTTCTAAATCTCTGCTTCTTCTCAAGCAAGGATATAAATACAAGGCTTATTCTCAAGCAAGGATATAAATACATTAAAGGATTGAGTTTATTATGAGAACACCAAAAATAGATTTAACCTTTATGGTAAAAATTGTTGAATTTTCTGCTCCAGACAAGATGAGACATTTTTATGGGTGAAATAAAGAAACAGAAAGCTGTTGAGAATGTTTTAGGATAAAAGAGATTTCCTCACCAAACAAATGGAGAATAAGTAAAAAAAGTAAGTATCTGTGGGTCAGTGCTTTTTGTTACATGAGACTGAACTAGCTTTATGTATTGGGCAGCTTCTTTTTTAATCCATCCAGATTACTACTCCAACATTGTGCAATACTTTCTTTGTATCTGTAAAATGAACTGCTGGGACCATGACCGACCAAACTTGAGAAAAAGAGTGAAGTCCAAATCCAATAGTTAAGCTCAAGGACTAAGACAGTTTTCTTTCCCTCTGTGGCTATGCTGCTCATAGGTTTAACTGTACATGAGTGATTTCATCTGAGTCTTATATCACTCATTTGTAAAATGGGGATAAAAATATTTGCAACCCTATAAAAAAAGCTGAAAGGTCTAAATAACATGTTAAAATCCTCTGATAGGTGTTATATAACTGCTATTTATTATTGAAGCTGCTGTTTTTCAGAGCACTCAGCTGTGTTCAGCTAAACAAAAACAGTTACTGTCTTGCCTTCAGATCCAGGAAAAAATAAAAATATATTGTAGTTTGAGACTTGCTGAAAAGCAAAACAATAACATACTCTGAGAGGAAAAGTATTCTTGTTATAATACCTATTACTAACTGGCAGTAAAATAATATAAATAGACAAATAACATGAAAAAGTACCTGCCAGCAAAATCCTTCCAAAAGATTCAAGCCTAAGAATTGAATCTGTACAAGAATTTTCTGTACTCAGAAAAGGAGCTTAGATAGCACATGGGGCAAACAAGATTCCTGATTTTTCCTTTCATCTTTAAGATAGTCCTTAGCTGTGACCCTTTTTTCTTAAAAGTCTACTCTAAGTTTTGATGAGTTTTCCTGCTCCCAGGCTGCTCCAGAACACCAAAACACAAAAAATGAATAATATTGCATTAGGTACACTTGAATTTCCACTACAGTTCTGAACTATGTTGAGAGGTTAAGGACGAACTCAAAGCTTTTGATTAATTCTGCGAACAGGAGAGAATAAAGACATAAGAAATCTAGTCTTCTGAAATGAATTAATATAATTACATTTCACACTCTGAAAAAGAAAACTAATAAGAGATAATTTATGTATATATAGAGACTTGAATATGAATGTATAAAATGGTTAAATATACATGAGAAGCAAATCAGAACCAAGAATTGCCTAACTCTTTTCACAGCTGTCTTCTGCTTTTCACCATATATATGAAATAAGGCCTTTTTCCCTTAAAAATTAATAATGGAATTTCTGTTTTGGGTTTTTTATCAACAACATACACAACATAAACAAACTTTAAAATGCTTTTGATTAAAAAAGTACTGTATTTAGATATGAATCTTTAAAGGATTCCTCTAATTAAGCCTGCTCCAAAACTTAACGCTGTGTCAAAATCTGTTGGTTTGGTTTTTTTCTTGATGTTTGGTGGGGATCTTTTTTCTTTAAATTTAAGTAAATGAGAAAAAAAGCAGGTAGAAACCTGTCTTGTCTAACAAATACACAGGCAAGAAATGAGATGCTCTTTCCCTAGTGGTAACCTGGGGAAGCAGCTGAAGCTCATGGTGAAAATGGACAGACTGAATATAGAGAAGACTGCTCTGACAGGCACAGCTACTGAAATCAGCCTTACTCTGTTACTTGAAATGAGCTGGTCAGTGCTCCAAGCCTGGGTGTTGCTAGTTTCCAGGCCTGCAAAGGAAAGCAAAGTTTCACAGTGCAGCTTTAAACTGCCATTACCTTCAGATTGTCGTGAAATTGACTGTATTTAGATTAAAAGACTACAAGTACACCCACATTCTGAAGGAATGAGTATGACAAGAATTACATTTCAGCTGCATTTTTATAATATATTAACTAATAATTATTGCAGCAATTCTCAGTTTTGCACAGAACAATGTGACAAAGGACCGAGGTACAGCAGGAAAACTCACCATGTTCAGCCAGGATACTGCAAAAGCAGCCACTTCATCAGACATATGGAGAATTACTTTTCTATAAAGCTGCTCTAGAATTTTGCTTAGAACTTGTAGAACTCAGTTTTGTAATTAGGAACTAGCAAAATCTTTGTAAGCAGAGTGGTAAAACACATATAATAATAATAACTATAATTCTGTGACTGCTGGCTTTGAAGGGAGATGTTTTAATAACAGTCTATTTGCAAAACATCCTTCAGTTACCTAATGCCTAAAATATCTATGATTAACAACCCTCTCCCTTTAAAAAACTTTCTTGCATCAGGAACATACAACTAACTTGAGAAGAAAGCAATTCAATGCAGATAAAGGCTTCTGAGCTTCCTGTGTTGACTAGTAAAAGAAATAAATATTGCAGAAATGTAACAAAGTAACTCCAAGCTTTCTGTTAAGAAAGACATAAAACCCATAGCCAAGGACCAGATTTTATGGAGGACTCAGCAAATAATAGGATTTGTACACAGAAACTGTACTTCTTTAAAGAATTAGGATGACCTAATTACTTTTACATGCACTAATGGATGCAATGCATCAATTAAGAAACCATTTTTCAAAATCCACCTGGTGGATGCCAGACTCCTGCAAAGGGGTAGGGAAAGGCTGCACCTGGTGACTTCTGTTCTTCACCAGTGCCTGTCAGTGCACTTCCTCCTTGGAGACAGGGTTCCCTATCTGGCTGCTGATCTGGAAACTGAGAGAAGGAAGCTCATCCATCCAATTCCTCTTTGAAAAAATGCAAAAGCAATAGGAAAATCTATAAAATAAATAATTTTTGAAG